GTCCCTGAGTTGTCCCTGGGGCTGACTGCTCCTCTGTCCGGGTTCCTGGCTTTTATCCCCTTTCTCCTGCTCTTCCGGCCTGCTACTCTGGGTGGGCCTGAGTTTGTCTCCTCACCTCATTCCTTCAGCTGATTTCTCTTCTCTCTAGCTTCCTGGGTTTTAATCCCCTTTCTCCTGCTCTTCCAGCTTGCTACTTTGGGCATCCCTGAGTTGTGTCTCCTCACCTGTAACCCTGGGGCTGACTGCTCTTCTGTCTGCGTTCCTGGCTTTTATCCCCTTTCTCCTGCTCTTCCAGCCTGCTACTCTATAGTATAAAACACTATACAACTTTAAAAGATAATGATGAATCTGTGAAACACCTTGTAACGTGTTTGACTAAAGGCCATTTTGCTCAATGATTTTAGTTAATCACAAAAGGACAAATCTTATATGTGACTGGTATTGTTAAAAGTCAAGAAAATATTTTAATACAGAAAAAAAAAAAAACATTCATTGAAAGTTAGCTGGAGTGGGAAGAGAAGGAATGGTAAGTATTAACTGGTGGGTAGATACATATTAACTTGGATGAAGGGAAAGGCAATATACAATAAGTGGGAGGTAAGTGGCAGAGGAAGACACTGGAAGGACCACAAGAGATAAAGGCAGCAAAGATAAATACTTAGGCAATCTGCAATAACAGTAATAACAATAATCTGCAAGTAGGTACATAGATAGACCTACAAGTTGAACAGGTGTTGGAATGTGAATGGAACTATACCCAGAAATATAGATCAGTTTGAGAGAAGGTATTTCTATACATGTATTCATATGTGATGCAAATATACCTATGAATATAGTAGATCAGATAGGGGACAAAGTTATAAAAATTTAATAGCCATAATCTAACACCTAGAGGAAATGAATCATGAGTCCTGGGGGATCAGGGCCATGGTCTTGGGGGCATCAAGGTCAAATGGCATAACTTAGTTCACAAAGACAATGTTCTACATCCTTCTTTGGTGAGTAGTAACAGGTCATAGAAGCTTTTAAATGGCACTTCAGGGGCAACTATTGGTCTCTCTCTGTTAGGAGCAAGAAGAATGAAGGAAATCAAAGACATAAGGAAACAGTTACATCCACAGGACTAGTGGACCATATGAGCCCAAGCCTCCATGACCGCAGAGAACTAGATTGTACCTGGCTGCCACTACTGACTGCTCTGAAAGACATCATAATAAGAAGTCCTGGATATAGTGGAAGAAAAATATGTAACAAAACTCAAAGTCAGACTGTCTTTCTCCCTATAATGTCTTGAATCTTCAAAATCAGTTTTCCAAATTCAGTTTTTTCTGATAGGTACAGCTAGCACTCCTGTAGGAAACTGAGTACTATGACCCTATGATGTAGGGTTTTGGTGATTCAAACTAAAATAGGAATGAAAGTTTATGAGATCTAGAAGTTGGTTATTCATCCTTTAAAGTATTACTAAAACACCAAGTGTCTTATGCTTTTGATTGGCTCCTAATAGCACATAATCAGATAATGATCACCATGCCAGATGCTTCCCATGTGTTACTAATTTAATTATCAACATATTTTTTAACATAGTTGATGTCTTCATTATGTAGATACAAAATCTGAGATGCAGAGGGAATAAATAATTTACCCATGGCCCTATAGTTAATAAGTAAAAAACAAAAAAAAAATAATAATAATGGGTGAGCTAATAGATAATTTTTAAAGGGTAGTTTCATGACTATTATATTTGAAAAATGCAATATTCTAGTTTGTTTTTATTTACATATTATAACATTGCATCCCTTTTTTCAGTGTATAGTCTTTGCCATGACTTCTGGCCAGATGTGGAATCATATCCGTGGACCTCCATATGCTCACAAGAACCCTCATAATGGGCAAGTGGTAAGTATATGTTGTAAGCATCAATACTCTGAACTTCAATCCCGTTTAATATAGGAATCATAAATTATGGTTAGTGTATAGACAGGATTCTATTTGTAAATCAAGATGGATGTTCTTTCTCTTCTCATTTACTACTTCTGCCACATATGTACACACATGCACATGTACACAATATATTGTGTTTGATTAGGGTGAGTGTTGCTTTAATGTTGATTTTTAAAAAAAATCAATTCCCCTCCTACATCAAATATACATGGTAAACTGCTTTTTCAACTTTGTATCCTGCTCTGGCAATGAAAAAGGAGCTCTGGTGGCATAGTGCATAGGACATTTGGCTGCTAACCAGAAGATCAGAGGTTCAAACCCACCAGCCGCTCCATGAGAGGAAGATGAGACAGTCTACTTCCATAAAAATTTAAAGTCTTGGAAACCCAATGGAGGTTGCTATGCGTTGGAATCCACTTGATGGCAGTGTGTTTTTGGTTTAACAGCAGTGATATGTAATGACACAAGAGGGAATAGTTTGTAACCAGTGGTAAAATTAATTTACTGCAGAAGAAGTTAAAATACTAAGGATCCTTTCAGCCATTGTATTGAACTGTTAGGGACTGTTTGCCACACAATTGAAAGTGTTGTTAAGTTAGTAGCATAGTTCACATTAGTAACTGCTACTGAATCGGACAACTTAGGTTGTCTTCTCTTTCATTTTGGTCTTAGGAAATACTGTAGTAGACCGTCATAGTGAAATACTGTCTTTGAGGTTTGTCGTTAATTTTGCAGTGCAGATTAATAAAAGATTGCAAATGTTTTTTTTTTTTTCCTTTAACTTTGAGAAAAAAAAAAAAAAAGATACAAATTTTGAAAGATTAGAATGACCTCTTTTCCCAGGTGTCTTACACCAAACTTTATCAGTTATAATCCAGTCTTGTTTTGTTCATTCTCCCACTGAAGTCTCTTTTACTGTTGTTGGATTCTTTTGAAATAAGTTTTCAACATCATTTCTTTTCATATATAAATATTTTATTTTATTTTATT